AGAGACCCGGGTTCGATTCCCGGTCGGGGCCCCTCCCCGGGCAGATGGAGCTCGTTAGCCCGTAAAGGCAATCCATCTACGTCCTGAGGACCTCGCTGCCACCGTCCAAGCGTGCTTGGCCCCGGCAGATGAACCTCAGGATTAAAGGGTGGGCTCAGTTCCGCGCACACTGTGTCTCACCTAAAAAAAATCCAATGCGCAGGCTGGAAGGTGGAAAGACCTTCCCCAGTTCTTCGTTCGCGAAGAGACTGGCCACACATCTTACTGCAACATCTGCCTTGCAAAGCATGTAAAGGAACCACAGGCATAAGCAGGAAGAAACAAATTTCTCCAATAAGTAGGTAAGGCATGTACCGAATAACAAGTTGAGATGGATCAACCTTCTTGAGCCAACTGGTTCATACTGAAACCTTCTGATATATTTACAATCCACATGCACAATTTGGATAACACATTCTTGATACTGGAAGTTATAAAAATAGGTAAAGCTGTCTACTTTGTTGTTTTCAAATCTGTGACTACTTGATCATCTATTCCAAAGGGTCTCATACTGAAAAGGAAAATCCAGCTTCTTGCTGAAGAACATGGTGGTGACTGTAAAATAACTTGAGGCTAATGAAAGGTTATTTGCCAGCTTCAAAGAACAAAGCAGTCTGAGAGCCAACTCCTCCACACTGATAACCATGAGTTAAGAAATTTTCATTTTCTGCTTCTTCCTGCAAGCATTTTATTACTCCCAAGATAATAAAGGCAAAGACTAGGAACAGTACAACAAGACTCTTTGCAGCATTTAACGACACCTTTCCCCAGAGAACAAACTGCCTGCAGCCTGGCCTATAGGCCTGAAACTTGAATTATGCACTGGGCAAATTACCTCCGGAGATCAACTGGCCTAGATTGGCTACACAGGTCCTACTTGAACTGAATTCAAACCAGAGGAGAAAGTTCTGCCATCCAATCTGCACTTCATGGCACTAGACTACTGAGAAGACCTACATTTATCCCTATGAGAAGCAAACTACTGTGGTAATTTCATTTTCTGAAGCTTCCTTACGAAGCCTTCTGAGTTTAAGAGGTGATTCATTTGTGGACTGTGCCTCATCACAGAATCACAGGATATTTTGAGTTGGCCCTTTACTGACAACTCATGCAAGTATCAGCACTGACCCTCCAGACTAGTTACTACTTATGTTGTTATCTTGATGAAGAGCCTCAAGAATTTTTACAATGGCATAACGGAGTTTTCAGTTTGGCTCTCTATGCCCTTCCTGACAATTCATAACATGGACTCTGCTTTCTCCTACTTCTTTTGTCAGCTAACATTTTTCATGCCTTTCTGCATTCTTTGTCACATCTGAGTGTTGAGAATTTGGGCAACAGCCTGCCTGTCTTTCAATATATGCCTCTTTTTAGATAAAAAATTA